TCTGTGTCCTCATAACTCTGAGTCCTCATAACTCTGTGTCCTCATAACTCTGTCTCATAACTCTGTCCTCATAACTCGTGTCCTCATAACTCTGTGTCCTCATAACTCTGTCCTCAACTCTGTCCTCCTCATAACTCTGTGTCCTCATAACTCTGTGTCCTCATAACTCTGTGTCCTCATAAACATCTGTCCTCATAACTCTGTGTCCTCATAACTCTGTGTCCTCATAACTCTGTGTCCTCATAACTCTGTCCTCATAACTCTGTGTCCTCATAACTCTGAGTCCTCATAACTCTGTCCTCATAACTCTGTGTCCTCATAACTCTGTGTCCTCATAACTCTGTCCTCATAACTCTGTGTCCTCATAACTCTGTGTCCTCATAACTCTGTGTCCTCATAACTTGTCCTCATATAACTCTGTGTCCTCATAACTCTGTGTCCTCATAACTCTGAGTCCTCATAACTCTGTGTCCTCATAACTCTGAGTCCTCATAACTCTGTGTCCTCATAACTCTGTGTCCTCATAACTCTGTCCTCACAACTCTGTGTCCTCATAACTCTCTGTCCTCGTAACTCTGTGTCCTCATAACTCTGTGTCCTCATAACTCTGTGTCCTCATAACTCTGTGTCCTCATAACTCATACTCTGTCCTCATAACTCTGTCCTCATAACTCTGTGTCCTCATAACTCTGTGTCCTCATAACTCTGTGTCCTCATAACTCTGTGTCCTCATAACTCTGTGTCCTCATAACTCTGTGTCCTCATAACTCTGTGTCCTCATAACTCTGTGTCCTCATAACTCTGGTCCTCATAACTTGTGTCCTCATAACTCTGAGTCCTCATAACTCTGAGTCCTCATAACTCTGTGTCCTCATAACTCTGTGTCCTCATAACTCTGTCCTCATAACTCTGTGTCCTCATAACTCTGTGTCCTCATAACTCTGTGTCCTCATAACTCTGTCTCATAACTCGTTCCTCATAACTCTGGTCCTCATAACTCTGTGTCCTCATAACTCTGTGTCCTCATAACGTCTCATTGTCCTCATAACTCTGTGTCCTCATAACTCTGTGTCCTCATAACTGTCTCATAACTCTGTGTCCTCATAACTCTGAGTCCTCATAACTATGTGTCCTCATAACTCTGAGTCCTCATAACTCTGAGTCCTCATAACTCTGTGTCCTCATAACTCTGTGTCCTCATAACTCTGTCCTCATAACTCTGTGTCCTCATAACTCTGTGTCCTCATAAGTCTGTGTCCTCATAACTCTGTCCTCATATAACTCCGTGTCCTCATAACTCTGTGTCCTCATAACTCTGTGTCCTCATAACTCTGAGTCCTCATAACTCTGTCCTCACAACTCTGTGTCCTCATAACTCTGTGTCCTCATAACTCTCTGTCCTCGTAACTCTGTGTCCTCATAACTCTGTGTCCTCATAACTCTGTGTCTTCATAACTGTCCTCATAACTCTGTGTCCTCATAACTCTGTGTCCTCATAACTCTGTGTCCTCATAACTCTGTGTCCTCATAACTCTGTCCTCATAACTCTGTGTCCTCATAACTCTGTGTCCTCATAACTCTGTCCTCATAACGCTGAGTCCTCATAACTCTGTGTCCTCATAACTCTGTCCTCATAACTCTGTCCTCATAACTCTGTGTCCTCATAACTCTGAGTCCTCATAACTCTGTGTCCTCATAACTCTGTCCTCATATAACTCTGTGTCCTCATAACTCTGTGTCCTCATAACTCTGTCCTCACAACTCTGTGTCCTCATAACTCTCTGTCCTCGTAACTCTGTGTCCTCATAACTCTGTGTCCTCATAACTCTGTGTCCTCATAACTCTGTGTCCTCATAACTCTGTGTCTTCATAACTGTCCTCATAACTCTGTCCTCATAACTCTGTGTCCTCATAACTCTGTGTTCTCATAACTCTGTGTCCTCATAACTCTGTCCTCATAACTCTGTGTCCTCATAACTCTGTGTCCTCATAACTCTGTGTCCTCATAACTCTGAGTCCTCATAACTATGTGTCCTCATAACTCTGAGTCCTCATAACTCTGAGTCCTCATAACTCTGTGTCCTCATAACTCTGTGTCCTCATAACTCTGTCCTCATAACTCTGTGTCCTCATAAGTCTGTGTCCTCATAACTCTGTCCTCATATAACTCCGTGTCCTCATAACTCTGTGTCCTCATAACTCTGAGTCCTCATAACTCTGTGTCCTCATAACTCTGAGTCCTCATAATTCTGTCCTCACAACTCTGTGTCCTCATAACTCTCTGTCCTCGTAACTCTGTGTCCTCATAACTCTGTGTCCTCATAACTCTGTGTCCTCATAACTCTGTGTCCTCATAACTCTGTGTCTTCATAACTGTCCTCATAACTCTGTCCTCATAACTCTGTGTCCTCATAACTCTGTGTCCTCATAACTCTGTGTCCTCATAACTCTGTGTCCTCATAACTCTGTGTCTTCATAACTGTCCTCATAACTCTGTCCTCATAACTCTGTGTCCTCATAACTCTGTGTCCTCATAACTCTGTGTCCTCATAACTCTGTGTCCTCATAACTCTGTGTCCTCATAACTCTGTCCTCATAACTCTGTGTCCTCATAACTCTGTGTCCTCATAACTCTGTCCTAATAACGCTGAGTCCTCATAACTCTGTGTCCTCATAACTCTGTCCTCATAACTCTGTCCTCATAACTCTGTGTCCTCATGACTCTGAGTCCTCATAACTCTGTGTCCTCATAACTCTGTCCTCATATAACTCTGTGTCCTCATAACTCTGTGTCCTCATAACTCTGAGTCCTCATAGCTCTGTTTCCTCATAACTCTGAGTCCTCATAACTCTGTGTCCTCATAACTCTGTGTCCTCATAACTCTGTCCTCACAACTCTGTCCTCATAACTCTCTATCCTCGTAACTCTGTGTCCTCATAACTCTGTGTCCTCATAACTCTGTGTCCTCATAACTCTGTGTCCTCATAACTCTGTGTCTTCATAACTGTCCTCATAACTCTGTCCTCATAACTCTGTGTCCTCATAACTCTGTGTCCTCATAACTCTGTGTCCTCATAACTCTGTGTCCTCATAACTCTGTGTCCTCATAACTCTGTCCTCATAACTCTGTGTCCTCATAACTCTGTGTCCTCATAACTCTGTCCTAATAACGCTGAGTCCTCATAACTCTGTGTCCTCATAACTCTGTCCTCATAACTCTGTCCTCATAACTCTGTGTCCTCATGACTCTGAGTCCTCATAACTCTGTGTCCTCATAACTCTGTCCTCATATAACTCTGTGTCCTCATAACTCTGTGTCCTCATAACTCTGAGTCCTCATAGCTCTGTTTCCTCATAACTCTGAGTCCTCATAACTCTGTGTCCTCATAACTCTGTGTCCTCATAACTCTGTCCTCACAACTCTGTCCTCATAACTCTCTATCCTCGTAACTCTGTGTCCTCATAACTCTGTGTCCTCATAACTCTGTGTCCTCATAACTCTGTCCTCATAACTATGTGTCCTCATAACTCTGTGTCCTCATAACTCTGTCCTCATAACTCTGTGTCCTCATAACTCTGTGTCCTCATAACTCTGTCCTCATAACTCTGTGTCCTCATAGCTCTGTGTCCTCATAACTCTGTGTCCTCATAACTCTGTGTCCTCATAACTCTGTCCTCATAACTATGTGTCCTCATAACTCTGTGTCCTCATAACTCTGTCCTCATAACTCTGTGTCCTCATAACTCTGTGTCCTCATAACTCTGTGTTCTCATAACTCTGTGTCCTCATAACTCTGTGTCCTCATAACTCTGTGTCCTCATAAATCTGTCCTCATAACTCTGTGTCCTCATAACTCTGTGTCCTCATAACTCTGTCCTCATAACTCTGTGTCTTCATAACTGTCCTCATAACTCTGTCCTCATAACTCTGTGTCCTCATAGCTCTGTGTCCTCATAACTCTGTCCTCATAACTCTGTGTCCTCATAACTCTGTCCTCATAACTCTGTGTCCCCATAACTCTGTCCTCATAACTCTGTGTCCTCATAACTCTGTGTCCTCATAACTCTGTCCTCATAACTCTGTGTCCTCATAACTCTGTGTCCTCATAACTCTGTCCTCATAACTCTGTGTCCTCATAACTCTGTCCTCATAACTCTGTGTCCTCATAGCTCTGTGTCCTCATAACTCTGTGTCCTCATAACTCTGTGTCCTCATAACTCTGTGTCGTCATAACTCTGTCCTCATAACTCTGTCCTCATAACTCTGTGTCCTCATAACTCTGTCCTCATAACTCTGTGTCCTCATAACTCTGTGTCCTCATAACTCTGTCCTCATAACTCTGTCCTCATAACTCTGTGTCCTCATAACTCTGTGTCCTCATAACTCTGTCCTCATAACTCTGTGTCCTCATAACTCTGTCCTCATAACTCTGTGTCCTCATAACTCTGTCCTCATAACTCGCCGTCAGACAAACATAGCTCGTTAAAGGAGATGACATCATGTCGAGAGCAATTATAAGTTTGCACCAAAATCTCAGAGTCTCATCCTGACACGTAAAGAGACGGACGCTTTTTGGTGAAGTTTCCAAAATACAAGATGTTACAGCCGTTCCACTAAAACGTGTTGATTAAATATTGGTTAGCTGTGCTTCTAAGTGAATTAACCAGAGAGACACCAGAGGGAGACCAGTGGGAGACCAGAGAGAGAGACCAGAGGGAGACCAGAGAGAGACCTGAGAGAGAGACCAGAGGGAGACCAGAGGGAAACCAGAGAGAGACCAGAGGGAGACCAGAGGGAGACCAGAGAGACCTGAGAGAGAGACCAGAGAGAGACCAGAGTAACCAGAGGGAGACCAGAGAGAAACCAGAGAGAGACCAGAGAGAGATCAAAGAGAGACCAGAGGGATACCAGAGTAACCAGACAGAGACCAGAGAGAGACCAGGGAGAGACCAGAGAGAGAGACCAGAGGGAGACCAGGACTAACAGTCGTACACTAACCTGAGCAGCTGCAGTTGTAGTGACTCAATGCTTCTGGAAAACAGTGGTTTCTGTTTAAATATGTTGTAATCATGAAAAATGTGTGTGTCTATGTGTGCGTGTGTGTGCGTATGTGTGTGTCTGTCTGTGTGTGTGTGTGTCTGTCTGTGTGTGTGTGTGCTTGCGTGTGTGTGTGTACGTACGTGTGTGTGTGCGTATGTGCGTGCGTGTGTTTGTGTGTACGTACGTGTGTGTGTGTGTGCGTGTGTGTGTGTGCGTGTGTGTACGTACGTGCGTGTGTGTGTTTGCTTCTGTGCGTACAAATAAAGAAAAAGGACACATTTCAGAACTATTTATTTTAAAGGCCATTGTGAAATATTTACAAGAAGTGTTTCGTCAATTTAAACAGAGAGAGACCAGAGAGAGAGACCAGAGAGAGACCAGAGAGAGACCAGAGGGAGACCAGAGAGAGAGACTAGAGAGAGACCAGAGAGAGAGACCAGAGAGAGAGACTAGAGAGAGACCAGAGAGAGACCAGAGAGAGAGACTAGAGAGAGACCAGAGACAGACCAGAGAGAGACCAGAGAGAGACCAGAGAGAGAGACTAGAGAGAGACCAGCGAGAGACCAGAGAGAGACCAGAGAGAGAGACCAGAGAGAGAGACCAGAGACAGACCAGAGAGAGACCAGAGAGAGACCTGAGAGAGAGACCAGAGAGAGAGACAAGAGAGAGAGACCAGAGAGAGAGCAGAGAGAGACCAGAGAGAGAGACCAGAGAGAGACCAGAGAGAGAGACCAGAGAGAGACCAGAGAGAGAGACTAGAGAGCGACCAGAGAGAGACAGACCAGAGAGAGACCAGAGAGAGAGACCAGAGACAGACCAGAGAGAGACCAGAGAGAGAGACTAGAGAGAGACCAGAGAGAGAGACCAGAGAGAGACCAGAGAGAGAGACCAGGGACGGACCAGAGAGGGACCAGAGACGGACCAGAGAGAGACCAGAGAGAGAGACCAGAGAGAGACCAGAGAGAGAGACTAGAGAGAGACCAGAGAGAGAGACTAGAGAGAGACCAGAGAGAGAGACCAATGAGAGACCAGAGAGAGAGACCAGAGAGAGAGACCAGAGAGAGACCAGAGACGGACCAGAGACGGACCAGAGAGAGACCAGAGAGAGAGACCAGAGAGTTCTTAGTGTTATATTTGGTAAATTATTAAATATGTAAATTATGGTTCAGAGAGAGGACAGTTTTCTTCTTCTTCTTCCGTCTCAGAGCGGAGCACAGGGCTCTGAGTGAAGCTCAGGGACACAGGAGCTGAGAGCGACTGGTCCAACCTCTGCTTCATCTGTAGACACACACACACACACACACACAGACACACATACACACACACACACACACAGATATGTGTGATGTCACATGTGTGATGTCACCTGTTTAAGGACTTCCTGTTGAACGTCAGCTTGAGTCAGATCCAGGTTTGAGTTCAGCACAAGTTTGACAATCACTGACGATCTTGGACCTGCACAAATATATATCAGTGTGTGTGTGTGTGTGTTTGTGTGTATCTGTGTGTGTGTGTGTCTCTCTCTGTGTGTGTTTGTGTGTATCTCTGTGTGTGTGTCTGTGTGTGTTTGTGTCTGTGTGTGTATGTGTGTATCTGTGTGTGTGTGTCTGTGTGTGTGTGTGTGTGAGTGTGTGTCTGTGTGTGTGTCTGTGTCTCTGTGTGTGTGTGTATGTATGTGTCTGTGTATGTATGTGTGTGTGTGTGTATGTATGTGTGTGTGTATATGTATGTGTGTGTCTGTGTGTATGTGTGTGACTCACATTTACAGATGAATGGCAGTTTCTTGTCACATGACCGCTCCGCCCACCTCCCGCCCGTCGTCATGGCGACACAGGCAGGTTTGGTGTCAGTGTATGGCTGTGTTCCTGCAGCGAAGAACCTGAAGGAGGAGGGGTCTCCGTCGGACCAGAGCCAGCGGTCCCTGAAGAGCCCCACCCACACCTCCTGCCCCTGGGCGGCTGCAGCCACCGCCTCAGCCTCCGCCGGGGTCCGCACACTCACCAGGTCTGTGTGATGCAGTCTGCACATCTCCTGGGCCCACGGCCAGTACTTCAGCACAGAGAAGAAATGGTACTGGTCCTCACTGCTCTCTGTGGAGGAGACTGATGTCAGAGAGACCAGAGAGAGTCCGGAGAGAGACCGGAGGGACCAGAGAGAGACCGGAGAGAGACCGGAGGGACCAGAGAGAGTCCGGAGAGAGACCGGAGAGACCAGAGAGAGACCAGAGAGAGACAGGAGAGAGACCGGAGGGACCAGAGAGAGTCCGGAGAGAGACCAGTGAGAGTCCGGAGAGAGACCGGAGGGACCAGAGAGAGATCGGAGAGACCAGAGAGAGTCCGGAGAGAGTCCGGAGAGAGACCGGAGGGACCAGAGAGAGACCAGAGAGACCAGAGAGAGACAGGAGGGACTAGAGAGAGACCGGAGAGAGACCAGAGAGACCAGAGAGAGACAGGAGGGACCAGTGAGAGACCGGAGCGACCAGAGAGAGACCGGAGGGACCAGAGAGAGACCAGAGGGACCAGAGAGAGACCGGAGGGACCAGAGAGAGACCAGAGGGAGACCATAAGGACCAGAGAGAGACCAAAGAGAGATCAGAGTGAGACTAAATCCTGTGGACCGAGCCTTCTGAATCCTGTTCTTCTTTAGTCCCTCTTGGTCCTGGTTCTATCCAGGCCGAGCTGGTGTTCTAACTGACAGTGATTGGTCCGGTTGAAGCACACGGCAGGCTTCAGGTTGTGTGTTGTGTGTGTGTGGTTGTGTGTTGTGTGTGTGTAGTGTGTATGTTATGTGTGTGTCTCACGGTTGAAGCACACGGTAGGCTTCAGGTTGTGTGTTGTGTGTGTGTAGTGTGTGTGTAATGTGTGTGTCTCACGGTTGAAGCACACGGTAGGCTTCAGTTTGTGTGTTGTGTGTGTGTAGTGTGTGTGTAATGTGTGTGTCTCACGGTTGAAGCACACGGTAGGCTTCAGTTTGTGTGTTGTGTGTGTGTAGTGTGTGTGTAATGTGTGTGTCTCACGGTTGAAGCACACGGTAGGCTTCAGGTTGTGTGTTGTGTGTGTGTAGTGTGTGTCTCACGGTTAAAGCACACGGTAGGCTTCTGGGCGGTGCAGTCGTCGGTCCGGGCCTCTCCGTCGATAAAGGACACACAGTTCTTGTTGGAGGTGATCTGTGAAGAGAAGAAAGTCTTCTCTCCTTCTCTGTAGAAGCTCTCGTTGGACAGAGACCAGCCCCAGTTCAGGTCCAGGCCTTTGTAAAGACCAATCCACGCCGCGTCTTCATACCGACCTGCGGTCACCGTGAAGACATGCTTCATCAGCAGGTTCAGAGCAGTACAAGATAAACATTATCTACACATGTATATGTCACATGTATATGTCACATGTATATGTCACATGTCACATGTATGTGTCACATGTATGTGTCACATGTATGTGTCACATGTATATGTCACATGTCACATGTATATGTCACAGTCACATATCACATGTATGTGTCACATGTCACTTGTATATGTCACATGTATATGTCACATGTATATGTCACATGTATATGTCACATGTAATAATAATAATACATTTTATTTATAATGCACTTTACATTTGACACCAAATCTCAAAGTGCTACAAACAGCAGCAAAAATAAAAGCAAACACCTAAAATCAGATAAAAGACTATAAAAAAATTAGCAGTACACTTTAGTAAAAAGATGGGTTTTGAGTCCCTTTATAAAAGCTTCCACCGTCTGTGGGGCCCTGAGGTGGTCCGGGAGGGCGTTCCACAGACGGGGAGCAGCGGCCTCGAAGGCCCGGTCCCCCATTTTCTTGAACCGTGTCCTGGGCGGGAGCAGACTGTGCTGTTGGCCTTACCGGGTTCTGCCTGAGGAGTGTGGAGTGAGGAGGTCAGTGAGGTAGGTGGGGGCATCACCGTGGACACAGTGGTGGGTGTGCAGGAGGATCTTGTATTCTATCCGGAGGTGAACGGGGAGCCAGTGGAGGGTGTGAAGGATGGGGGTGATGTGCTCATGCTTCCGCACCCTCATCAGGACCCTGGCCGCGCTGTTTTGTACGTACTGGAGCTTTTGAAGGCTCCTGCCAGGGATCCCGATGAGGAGTGCGTTGCAGTAATCCAACCTGGAGGAGACAAAGGCATGGACGAGCTTCTCTGCAGCTGGGAGAGAGAGAGAAGAGCGGAGTTTTGAAATATTACGGAGGTGGAAGAAGGAAGTTTTGCAGATGTGATGTATGTGATTTCCGAAGGAAAGGTGGGGGTCAAACTTGACCCCGAGATTGGTTACAGAGGGAGAGAGGGGAATGCTGTGGCCAAAGAGAGAGATTGAGGTGATGGGAGAAGAGTGAAGTTGATGGGGAGTACCAGTTTGAATGGCTTCTGTTTTTGAGCCATTCAGCTGCAAGAAGTTTTGCCTCATCCATGCCCCTATCTCCTCCAGGCAGGAGGTAAGACAGGAGAGAGATGCAGAGGGAGGGGCGGATGGAGTGACTTTGAGATAAAGTTGTGTGTCGTCAGCATAGCAATGGAAGTGAATTCCATGCCTGCTGACGACCCACCCGAGGGGAAGCATGTACATGGTGAAGAGGGTGGGACCGAGCACGGAGCCCTGGGGGACCCCACAGGTGACAGAGTGGGGGCGAGATTTAGCGTCCCCCAGAACCACATGCTCGGTTCGGTCAGTGAAGTAGGAGTGAAACCAGTGGAGGGCAGTGTGGGAGAGGCCAATGTGGTGCTGGAGACGATGTAAAAGGATGTTATGGTCAATGGTGTCGAACGCAGCAGTGAGGTCGAGAAGAATGAGGATGGAAGTGGAACCGGAGTCAGAGGCCATGAGAAGGTCATTGGTCACTCTGATGAGCGCTGTTTCTGTGCTGTGGGATGGGCGGAAACCAGATTGGAATTTTTCATAGAGACTATTTGATTTGAGATGATTATGGAGTTGAGTGGAGACTGCTCTTTCGAGGATTTTGGAAATTAATGGAAGGTTTGAGACAGGACGGTAATGGGAGAGGGGCACAGGGTCAAGAGTGGGGTTTTTTAAGTAATGGTTTTATGAGAGCTGTTTTGAGGGAGGGTGGAATGGTGCCAGTACCAAGGGAGAGATTGATAATTTTGGTTATTGTGGGACTGATGAATTTGGAGTAGGTTTTGAGCAGAGGGGTAGGGAGTGGGTCCAAGGAGCAGGTGGATGGTTTAGAGGTATGAATGATCTTCTCGACCTCCTGCTGCGTCATGGGTGTGAAATGAGATAGACTATGTGATGAAGTTGAAGGTCGTGTTCGAAGGAGACAGGGTTAATGTTTTTAATGTTCCGAAAAGTGATATGTCGTTTTTGTTTGTCGAGATGGGAGGATGTGGGAACTGTGAAGGAAGTGACTAGATGGTCAGAGACACCAATGTCATACACCTGCAGGTCAGTGATTGGGATGGAGTCTGTGATAACCAAGTCCAGTGTGTGACCTTTATTGTGGGTGGGACAGTTGATGAGTTGTTTTAGATTTAGACAGTCCAAAACCTGATTAAATTCAGTGGTGAGTCGACAGGTCAGCAGGTCCGTGTGTATATTGATGTCACCAGTGATTAGGATGTTTTTGTAGGATGAGCAGAGTGAGCTGAGAAAGTCATGGATGTCTGAAATGAAAGATGGCTGTGGTTTGGGGGGGCGGTAGATCAGGGCTATTGTAAGCAGTAAGTGGATGTTTACAGTTAAAGACCAAGCTTTCGAATGAAGATGTTGATGGGGTTGGAAGAGGGGATAGATGAAGGGTGCTGCGATATAAAACAGCTAGGCCCCCACCGAGGCCAGTAGTGCTGGCCTTATGTAGGTACGAATACCCTGGGGGGCAGGCCTCGTTGAGGGCAGAGAAGACCCCTGGCTGTTGCCATGTCTCACTGAGGCACATAATGTCTATATGCCTCTCCGAAATTTGGTCATGGATAAGTCCGGCTTTATTTGACAGAGACCGAACATTAAGTTGTTCAATTGTCATGATTCTTTTTGAATCCAGTCCGCTTAGGGGGCGCAGAACACTGTAGTCCACTCCGGGATTTCTCTCGCTCCTGTTATGAGCTCTGTGTGTGGCAGTGCTCTGATGACGTGTGGGAGTGTGACGTAGTCAAAGTGCGCCATGTTGTGCAGACCACAGGGATGCTATGGAGTTTTCTATGACATGTGAAAACTATGGAGTTTTCACATGTCACAAGTATATGTCACATGTATATGTCACATGTATGTGTCACATGTACAGTATGTGTCACATGTATATGTCACATGTATATGTCACATGTCACATGTATGTGTCACATGTATGTGTCACATGTCACATGTATGTGTCACATGTCACATGTATGTGTCACATGTATATGTCACATGTCACATGTATATGCCACATGTATATGTCACATGTATATTGTAACAATTTGCCTACCTTTTCAAGACACCAGAGCTACAACGCTTTAAAAGGGTCGCAAGAGGAGATGTCACATCAGCGGGGTGAAATAAGCACAGATACAGAACATGCATTTGGCACAAGACTGGCTATTTATTACTGATCCCAGTCTATCACTAATAAGCCAACACCCCCACGCTCGAGCGCGACCCCACACAACAAAACATAATATGATCACAAACAGCCAACTGTGGCGCTCTCAATATGTGGAAACAAAAAAAGAAAGAGTTAGTGTCAGTGGTGAAGCCACGGTGTACTCACGGCCCCGCGCATGCACCACGGTTCACAAAAACGGGTCCTGGAGCCCAGCAGCGACCATGGAGAGATAATCCACAGAGTCTCGTAAGTCCCTCTGCACACGGTAATCCAAAAAGTCACGGTAATCCAAACGAACGATACTCCCACAGAAATTATAATCCGCAAAAACTCCAGGTAAAGGTGCTGGCCTAGCTCCAAGTCGGCGTCTGACGTCAGAACACGCGCGCCCCCACGCCCGTCACTCCTAAATAGAGTCTCTAAGCACGCCATCAATGGCAAAAACAATAATAGCACCAGTACCTGGAGACTTATGAAACAAAAGACAAAACAGACCTGGTACACAAAATTGGTTGAAAAATACAGAATGTCACCCCTCCTGAGTGAACACTAAGGTAAGGACCTATGCGGGCGTTACAATATGTCACATGTATATGTCACATGTATATGTCACATGTATATGTCACATGTATATGTCACATGTATATGTCACATGTATATGTCACATGTATATGTCACATGTATATATCACATGTCACAGGTATATGTCACATGTATGTGTCACATGTATATGTCACATGTCACATGTATATGCCACATGTATATGTCACATGTATATGTCACATGCCACATGTATGTGTCACATGTATATGTCACATGCCACATGTATGTGTCACATGTATATGTCACATGTATATGTCACATGTCATATGTATATGTCACATGTATATGTCACATGTATATGTCACATGTATATGTCATATGTCACATGTATATGCCACATATCACATGTATATGTCACATGTATATATCACATGTATATGTCACATATATATGTCACATGTATATGTCACATGTATATGTCACATGTATATGCCACATGTCGCATGTATGTGTCACATGTATATATCACATGTATATGTCACATGTATATGTCACATGTATATGCCACATGTATATGTCACATGTATATGTCACATGTATATGCCACATGTATATGTCACATGTATATGTCACATGTATATGCCAAATCTATATGTCACATGTATATGTCACATGTATATGCCACATGTATATGTCACATGTCACATGTATATGCCACATGTATATGTCACATGTATATGTCACATGTATATGACACATGTATATGTCACATGTATATGTCACACATATATGTCACATGTCACATGTATATGTCACATGTCACATGTATATGCCACATGTATATGTCACATGTATATGTCACATGTATATGTCACATGTCACATGTATATGTCACATGTATATGTCACATGTATATGCCACATGTATATGCCACATGTATATGTCACATGTATATGTCACATGTATATGTCACATGTATATGTCACATGCATATGCCACATGTATATGCCACATGTATATGTCACATGTATATGTCACATGTATATGTCACACGTCACATGTATATGCCACATGTATATGTCATATGTCACATGTCACATGTATATGTCACATGTATATGCCACATGTATATGTCACATGTATGTGTCACATGTATATGTCACATGTATATGTCACATGTCACATGTATATGCCACATGTGTATGTCACATGTATATGTCACATGTATATGTCACATGTATATGCCACATGTATATGTCACATGTATATGTCACATGTATATGTCACATGTCACATGTATATGTCACATGTATATGTCACATGTATATGCCACATGTATATGTCACATGTATATGTCACATGTATATGCCACCTGTATATGTCACATGTATATGTCACATGTATATGTCACATGTATATGTCACATGTCACATGTCACATATGTGTCACATGTATATGTCACATGTATATGTCACATGTTAATGTCACATGTCAGATGTATATGCCACATGTATGTGTCACATATATATGTCACATGTATATGTCACATGTATATGCCACATGTCGCATGTATGTGTCACATGTATATATCACATGTATATGTCACATGTATATGTCACATGTATATGCCACATGTCGCATGTATGTGTCACATGTATATATCACATGTATATGTCACATGTATATGCCACATGTATATGTCACATGTATATGTCACATGTATATGCCACATGTATATGTCACATGTATATGTCACATGTATATGTCACATGTATATGCCAAATCTATATGTCACATGTATATGTCACATGTATATGCCACATGTATATGTCACATGTATATGCCACATGTATGCCACATGTATATGTCACATGTATATGTCACATGTATATGTCACATGTATATGCCACATGTATATGTCACATGTATATGTCACATGTATATGTCACATGTATATGTCACATGTATATGCCACATGTATATGTCACATGTATATGTCACATGTATATGTCACATGTATATGCCACTTGTATATGTCACATGTATATGTCACATGTATATGTCACATGTCACATGTATATGTCACATGTATATGTCACATGTCACATGTATGTGTCACATGTATATGTCACATGTATATGTCACATGTTAATGTCACATGTCACATGTATATGCCACATGTATGTGTCACATATATATGTCACATGTATATGTCACATGTATATGCCACATGTCGCATGTATGTGTCACATGTATATATCACATGTATATGTCACATGTATATGTCACATGTATATGTCACATGTATATGCCACATGTCGCATGTATGTGTCACATGTATATATCACATGTATATGTCACATGTATATGCCACATGTATATGTCACATGTATATGTCACATGTATATGCCACATGTATATGCCACATGTATATGTCACATGTATATGTCACATGTATATGTCACATGTATATGACACATGTATATGTCACATGTATATGTCACATGTATATGTCACATGTCACATGTATATGTCACATGTATATGTCACATGTATATGCCACATGTATATGTCACATGTATATGTCACATGTCACATGTATATGTCACATGTATATGTCACATGTATATGCCACATGTATATGCCACATGTATATGTCACATGTATATGTCACATGTATATGTCACATGTATATGTCACATGCATATGCCACATGTATATGCCACATGTATATGTCACATGTATATGTCACATGTATATGTCACATGTATATGTCACACGTCACATGTATAAGCCACATGTATATGTCTCATGTATATGTCACATGTATATGCCACATGTACATGTCACATGTATGTGTCACATGTATATGTCACATGTATATGTCACATGTCACATGTATATGCCACATGTGTATGTCACATGTATACGTCACATGTATATGTCACATGTCACATGTATATGTCACATGTATATGCCACATGTATATGTCACATGTATATGTCACATGTATATGTCACATGTATATGTCACATGTATATGCCACATGTATATGTCACATGTATATGTCACATGTATATGCCACATGTATATGTCACATGTATATGTCACATGTCACATGTATATGTCACATGTCACATGTATATGTCACATGTATATGTCACATGTCACATGTATGTGTCACATGTATATGTCACATGTATATGTCACATGTTAATGTCACATGTATATGCCACATGTCGCATGTATGTGTCACATGTATATATCACATGTATATGTCACATGTATATGTCACATGTATATGCCACATGTATATGTCACATGTATATGTCACATGTATATGCCACATGTATATGTCACATGTATATGTCACATGTATATGTCACATGTATATGCCACATGTATATGTCACATGTATATGTCACATGTATATGCCGCATGTATATGTCACATGTCACATGTATATGCCACATGTATATGTCACATGTATATGCCACATGTATATGTCACATGTATATGTCACATGTATATGTCACATGTATATGCCACATGTATATGTCACATGTATATGTCACATGTATATGCCGCATGTATATGTCACATGTCACATGTATATGCCACATGTATATGTCACATGTATATGCCACATGTATATGTCACATGTATATGTCACATGTATATGTCACATGTATATGCCACATGTATATGCCACATGTATATGTCACATGTATATGTCACATGTATACGTCACATGTATATGTCACATGCATATGCCACATGTATATGCCACATGTATATGTCACACGTCACATGTATATGCCACATGTACATGTCACATGTATATGTCACATGTATATGTCACATGTCACATGTATATGCCACACGTATATGTCACATGTATATGTCACATGTCACATGTATGTGTCACATGTATATGTCACATGTATATGTCACATGTCACATGTATATGCCACATGTGTATGTCACATGTATATGTCACATGTCACATGTATATGTCACATGTATATGCCACATGTATATGTCACATGTATATGTCACATGTCACATGTATATGTCACATGTATATGCCACATGTATATGTCACATGTATATGTCACATGTATATGTCACATGTATATGTCACATGTATATGCCACATGTATATGTCACATGTATATGCCACATGTATATGTCACATGTATATGTCACATGTATATGTCACATGTATATGTCACATGTATGTGTCACATGTATATGTCACATGTATATGTCACATGTTAATGTCACATGTATATGTCACATGTATATGTCACATGTATGTGTCACATGTATATGTGACATGTATATGTCACATGTCACATGTATGTGTCACATGTATATGTCACATGTATATACAACAGCGGCAGGAGGCTCTGGGATAGTCTGACCTTGGACCTCCTCCAGCAGGACCTCCTGCTCCTGCATGTGGTGCAGGGTCAGCAGGTCCACACAGGTCTCTCTGCAGAACCTCTGGGCCTCGGTCCAGGACCTTGGCTCCGAGACCAGACGAGTGATGTAGGCTCTGGACACACGAAGACCTGAAGAACAGCATGTGATCAGCCCCAGGCTGCAGGAGGCCACACAACCACCTCCACTGGCTCCTCTCCACATGGAAGAGCAGCGGCTCTACTCTAAGCTCCTTCCATGTGATTGAGCTCCTCCCTCTAGCTCTACGGAACTCTGGGAGAGGCTCAGGTGGACCGCTTTCAGTCATATTCCACCGTGTGACATTACAGTGTGACATCACCACCGTGTGACATCACCACAGTGTGACATCACCACAGTGTGACATCACCACCGTGTGACATCACCACAGTGTGACATCACCACCGTGTGACATCACAGTGTGACATCACCACAGTGTGACATCACCGTGTGACATCACCACAGTGTGACATCACCACAGTGTGACATCACCACAGTGTGACATCACCACAGTGTGACATCACAGTGCGACATCACCACAGTGTGACATCACAGTGTGACATCACTACATGAGCACTGTGTGAGACACAGGACTAGCAGACATGGAGGAATACAGTCAGGACAGGCTTCAACTATCTGTCCCAGGTCAACTGTCCCGGGTTAACTGTCCCAGGTTAACTGACCTGTCCCAGGTTAACTGTCCCGGGTTAACTGTCCCGGGTTAACTGTCCCAGGTTAACTGTCCCGGGTTAACTGTCCCAGGCAATTTAAAACCAAACACAAAAGTATCCTATACATAGACACACAATTGAAGTCGGGACACACAGGGCAAAGACAATGTAGACCAATCAATCACTTTCAGCAAAACAAAAAACATAAATGTACAGTGGATTTCTCTTTTTTTTTTAAGATGCCAGGAAACATAAACCTTACTTCTGCAAACATCAATGAACACAGGCGAGCAAACAATCTACACCATTGTAATACTAAACAGTATAACAGTCAAGAAAAATAAAAACAAAAATGTCAGAACAGAATGAGCTCACTTTAGATCCATTTTGTCTGTGTGAAATGCATTAGTCCATTTCTTATCACACCAGCCTGATGTTATTCTGGGGTCACGTCTGGGTCTGAGATTGTAATGTACTGGGCCTGGGTCAGAGAGGGACTCAGGGGAGGGGCAGTCCATAGGAACAGAGTCAATGTCCTGCAAAACAAAAGGTAAAGCACTCAAGGCAGTTTCATTGTCCGCTTGCTGGGTGTGAGTCAATGTCCAAAACCCCATCGCCCCCACAGTCGGCAGGAGGAGAAACAGGGTGGCCTTTGGTGGAGAGAGAGTCCCACGTGTGAAACGGTTGCATATTCACAACATGATAAACACCAGCATTAGCACCAGAGTCCATCCTAGTGAGTCTGTAGTTCACGTCGCTAAGTTTCTGCGAAACCTGTAGCGGTCCTTAAAATAGGGGTGCTAGTTTAGCAGTAAAGCTGGACTGAGCGTCTGATCGAGGGTGGGTTTTAACTCTGACGAGATCACCAACATTAAAGGTGGCATGATGACGCCTTAAGTCATAGTAGTGCTTCAAGAGCAGCCCTTGCATGATCATGAGCTTCCTGTAAGGAGGCTCTAAGAATCTCAAGGTAAGGAACACCTGGCTCATCAACACCGTCACTAGAAGGTTGCGTGAGAAGGTCAAGTGGGGTGTCTAGCTCACGGCCATAAAGCATCATGGAGGGACTATGTCCCGTGCTATCATGAGGCGCTGTACGCAGGGCAAAACAAATGTGTGGGAGGTACTTGTCCCATGAAGTGTGTTTGTCTCCGACGTAAGCACGTATGGCAGTTTTCAGAATCCGGTTGACACGCTCTGTAGCGTTAGTCTGTGTACAGAGCCTAAGGCAGAGACTACGTGTTCAAACAGCTCACTCACGAAAGGAGTCCCTCTGTCAGAAATAAGATAGGTAGGTGCACCATGTCTAGCAAAAATGTCAGTAACAAATTTACCAGCAGCCACATGTGATGTGGCCTCTCTTACAGCACTCGCCTCTACCCATTTGGAGAAGTAGTCCACAAACACAATCAAATACATATTACCAACTGCAGTACGGGGAAGAGGGCCTACAAAGTCTACACCTACGTACTCCCAGGGTTTTTGTGGAACAATTGGGACCATAAGACTAGCTGGTTTTCATTGACTAGGCTTAGTAAGCTAGCAGACTGAGCATGAAGTTACATAACGTTTTACATCAGCCGCCATTTTTGGCCAGAAAAACCTGAGACGTAGTCTCGCTAAGGTCTTTGAAACACCAAGATGACCTGCACTGGGGTGGTCATGATAATAGTTAAGTAAGGTTCCCCTCATAGTAGTAGGCGCAAACAGTCTTTTGTGAGTCTGTCTCAATGTCCCTTAACAACGGCCCAGTGACCGGGTCATCAAGCTGCAGCTGCCTGATTTGAGAGCGATCTGCTAGCAGAACAAGGGGCAGGGCACGAATGTCCAAACTGCCAATAACAGCATGCTCCGGCAAGAGATCTATGGGAGAGTGACAAGTTGAGGCCAATGGATTTCGAGACAGCGCGTCTGGCACTTTGTTGCGTATGCCAGGTTTGTGCACTATGGTGAAGTCGAAATCCTGAAGTCGGAGTGACCAGTGGGCAAGCCGGCCTGTCGGATTCTGATGAGACATGAGCCACTTGAGACTATTATGGTCAGTGTAAATAGTTACATGCATACCTTCAACATGTGGCCGAAAATGTTCAAGGGCCCAAATAACAGCAAGGCACTCCTTTTCTGAAGTGCTATAGGGCAGCTCGGCTTTGTGAATAGAGCGGCTAGCAAAAGTCACTATATTCTCACGACCCTTGTCATCTTTTTGCATTAAAGCTGCACCGAGACCGATGTCACAAGCATCCGTGTGAATGAAAAAGGGACGCGCAAAGTCTGGGAATGACAAAACAGGGGCTGATGTGACACGCTGAATCAAAATGTCCATAGCTTTTTGACAGTCGTCGTCCCACTGGAAAGTCGCGTCCTTTCTTGTGAGCGCATGTAGAGGCTCAGCATGCCGAGCATAATCCTGGATAAAGTGGCGGTAGTATCCAGTCAGGCCAAGGAACTGCCGGACATGTTTCACGGTAGTTGGGGTGTTGAATTCCGTCACTGCCTTGATCTTGTCCGGGTCCGGTTTAATACCTGAAGATGTGATTGAGTTATTTGAGACAGAACTGGCACTTTCTGAGTTTAAGCGACAGGCCAGCAGATGAGTCTGGTAAGCACCTCCTCGAGGTCTGCCAGATGTTGTTCAAAGGTGGGAGATGCAATAACAATGTCGTCAAGGTAAACAGCACATGTTTTGTAAATGAGACCAGCGAGTACAGAGTTCATAAGTCTTTGGAAAGTCGCGGGAGCATTGCAAAGCCCAAAGGGTAACACTCTAAACTGGAAAAGACCACAATGTGAGATAAAGGCAGTCTTTACTCTAGACTCTTCTGCAACTGCGACCTGCCAATAACTTCGCGCTAGGTCGAGTGTTGTGATGTATTTTTACCCCTTGTTCCTCTATCACCCGTTTCTTAGCAGGCGACGTACGATACAGTTTGGCATCCCGTGTTTCAATGACCTGTTCAGTAAGTGATGTTCGACCAAGGTGACCATCAAACATCGGTCCAAACTTGGCGAGCATCTTGAGAAGAGCATTTTTGTTTTAAGGTTGGAGGTCAGTGTGTCCATTGACATAATATTTACAGTTGTATCTGTGAAATCCGCTGGACTGTCCTCCTCATCCATGAGCGGGCAGGGGGCATCGTCTACAAACACTGTTCTTGTGGGAATATGAATGGAGATAGAGGCTCTAGTCATGAAATCCATTCCCAAAATGAACGGAGTAGACAGTTCTGGGATGACAGCAAAACGCTGGTAATAGTTTTTGTTCATGAATCCAACATTAAGCCAAGTGACACCATCTGGAATGCAAGGAGCGTTGTTAACCAGATTAACTGGTGGGCCCTTCCACTCACTCGTCTTAGCGGGATAAGTGCCATTAACTTGAGTAAGATCTGCTCTAATGGCTGAGAGAGAAGCTCCTGTGTCAAGAGTAGCTTCAACGGGAGTGCCATTAAAGTTCAATTTTGTTCTGAGAGGAGTATTCCACTGTACTAACAAAAAATTGTCCTCCAAGTGTCCCAAAACTGGTCCGTCTTGTGGTGGTTGAGGCTCGCTTAGTGCCTGGAGGGAGGGTGGCCTCTGTGAAATGTCCTCCCCCCTCTGTAGTTTCCCGGCTGCATGTTTTGAGGTGGGGCAGGGGTGCTACTGTTTTCACTGTTTGGCTAGCCCAAGTATGGGGGACCAGGCGGTTGAAATGACTGCGCACTAGGCCCCGCAGACGCAGCAGCAGTCTCATTTGTAGGGGATGAATTATTGATTGACTGCGGAACCATCCGCAGTCAACCATTGGTTTTCACGTTCTTTATTATTATTCCGTCTTTTTCCTGATTTTTGACACGTTTCACAGCTTTCACATTTTCAACAATTTCCACAAGTTATACATCAAAACGTTCCACATGTTTGGGAGATTATTGCTATTACTTTTGGGACTTCAGCGATTTCCGGTTTTTCCGCAATCGGACAAAAATCGGTCGATTTTTCCCATTGATTTATAATGGGGCTTCCACAAATTCATAGTTTTCAGAATTTTCTTCAACATTTTCAGCATTTTCTGCAGTTTGTGCATGTTCAGCTTCCACAACTTGTGAGTTTTCAGAAAAAACTAGAAACTTGCAATGGCTGAAGCCATTGCGATTGACTGCGGAACAGATCTAATGTGGAAATCTGCTAAAAAAAATCCTTTAAATCCTTTAAAAGGCCTTGAAACTGTTAAAATACTTGATAGATATGATAGACTGATAGACTGGTTTACATGGAAAAATCCCCATCCCCAAAAATCCCCCAATTTCAAGGACTCCTGAAGTCCTTGAAATTGTTGAAACCTTTAAACTCCTGAAATCCTTGAAATTGTTGAAACCTTTAAACTCCTGAAATCCTTGAAACTGTTGAAACATTGAAACTCCTGAAATCCTTGAAACTTTTTTAAACCTGGAAACTGTTGAAAGTGTGGCAACTCCTGAAATCCTTGAACCTCCTGATATCCTTGAAACTGGTTAAATTCTTAAACAGTTGAAATCCTTGAAACTACTGAATGTATTGAAAGTGTCCTTGAAACTGAAAAATCCCCTCACCGCTGAAACAATTTGGTTCCTGTAACTAAGGAAACCTGGTCTGTGGTCATTATCTGGTGGTGGTCTGAGTCTTCGTTTGGGTCTTGGTCTGGTGGTATAACTGGTACTGGTTTACATGGAAAAATCCCTATTAGGTTGCATTATACTGGTTTACATGGAAAAATCCCTATTAGGTTGCATTATACTGGTTTACATAGAAAAATCCCTATTAAGTTGCATTATACTGGTTTACATGGAAAAATCTCTATTAAGTTGCATTATACTGGTTTACATGGAAAAATCCCTATTAGGTTGCATTATACTGGTTTACATGTACAAATCCCTATTAAGTTGCTTTATACTGGTTTACATGTAAAAACCCCTATTAGGTTACATTATAGTGGTTTACATGTAAAAATCCTTATTAAGTTGCATTATACTGGTTTACATGTAAAAACCCCTATTAAGTTCCATTATACTGGTTTACATGTAAAAACCCCTATTAAGTTCGATTATACTGGTTTACATGTAAAAACCCCTATTAAGTTCGATTATACTGGTTTACATGTAAAAACCCTATTAAGTTGCATTATACTGGTTTACATGAAAAAAACCCTATTAAGTTGCATTATACTGGTTTACATGGAAAAATCCCTATTAAGTTGCATAATACTGGTTTACATGGAAAAATCCCCATTAAGTTGCATTATACTGGTTTACATGAAAAAAACCCTATTAAGTTGCATTATACTGGTTTACATGGAAAAATCCCTATTAAGTTGCATTATACTGGTTTACATGGAAAAATCCCTATTAAGTTGCATAATACTGGTTTACATGGAAAAATCCCCATTAAGTTGCATTATACTGGTTTACATGAAAAAAACCCTATTAAGTTGCATTATACTGGTTTACATGGAAAAATCCCTATTAAGTTGCATTGTACTGGTTTACATGGAAAAAACCCTATTAAGTTGCATTATACTGGTTTACATGGAAAAAACCCTATTAAGTTGCATTATACTGGTTTACATGGAAAAAACCCTATTAAGTTGCATTATACTGGTTTACATGTAAAAACCCCTATTAAGTTGCATTATACTGGTTTACATGGAAAAATCCCCATTAAGTTGCATTATACTGGTTTACATGAAAAAAACCCTATTAAGTTGCATTATACTGGTTTACATGAAAAAACCCTATTAAGTTGCATTATACTGGTTTACATGGAAAAATCCCTATTAAGTTGCATTATACTGGTTTACATGGAAAAATCCCTATTAGGTTGCATGATTACACTGAAGTCCTTGAAACTATTGAAACCTTGAAACTGTTGAAGTCCTTGAAACTGTTGAAACCTTGAAACTGCTGAAGTCCTTGAAACTGTTGAAACCTTGAAACTGTTGAAACCTTGAAATTGTTGAAACCTTGAAACTGTGGAAACCTTGAAACTGCTGAAGTCCTTGAAACTGTTGATGTCCTTGAAACTGCTGAAGTCCTTGAAACTGCTGAAGTCCTTGAAACTGCTGAAGTCCTTGAAACTGTTGAAGTCCTTGAAACTGTTGAAGTCCTTGAAACTGTTGAAGTCCTTGAAACTGTTGAAGTCCTTGAAACTGTTGAAGTCCTTGAAACTCTTGAAATCTTGAAACTGCTGAAGTCCTTGAAACTGTTGAATCCTTGAAACTGTTGAAACCTTGAAACTGTTGAATCATTGAAAATGCATGGGCCTATTAAAATGCATTGCAGAATTCTCAATGCAAATTAATGGCAGAATTCCCAAGCCCGTAGAAAAAAACTGGAAAACTGCAGAACTCTAATTTTTTCTGAAAACTCACAAGTTGTGGAAGCTGAACATGCACAAACTGCAGAAAATGCTGAAAATGTTGAAGAAAATTCTGAAAACTATGAATTTGTGGAAGCCCCATTATAAGTCAATGGGAAAAATCGACCGATTTTTGTCCGATTGCGGAAAAACCGGAAATCGCTGAAGTCCCAAAAGTAATAGCAATAATCTCCCAAACATGTGGAACGTTTTGATGTATAACTTGTGGAAATTGTTGAAAATGTGAAAGCTGTGAAACGTGTCAAAAATCAGGAAAAAGACGGAATAAAGAACACCAAAACCAATGGTTGACTGCGGAAGGTTCCGCAGTCAATCAACTAGAAACTTGCAATGGCTGAAGCCATTGCGATTGACTGCGGAACAGATCTAATGTGGAATTTAGCTGAAAAATCCTTGAAATCCTTGAAACTGTTAAAATACTTTAAACATCTTTGAAACTCCTGAAGTATTTGAAGCTCCTGATATCCTTTAAACTGTTATCCTTTATACTGGTTTACATGTAAAAACCCCTATTAAGTTGCATTATACTGGTTTACATGGAAAAATCCCCATTAAGTTGCATTATACTGGTTTACATGTAAAAAACCCTATTAAGTTGCATTATACTGGTTTACATGGAAAAATCCCTATTAAGTTGCATTATACTGGTTTACATGTAAAAATCCCTATTAAGTTGCATTATACTGGTTTACATGTAAAAACCCCTATTAAGTTCCATTATACTGGTTTACATGTAAAAACCCCTATTAAGTTCCATTATACTGGTTTACATGTAAAAAACCCTATTAAGTTCCATTATACTGGTTTACATGTAAAAAAAAAACCCTATTAAGTTGCATTATACTGGTTTACATGTAAAAACCCATATTAAGTTGCATTATACTGGTTTACATGGAAAAATCCCCATTAAGTTGCATTATACTGGTTTACATGAAAAAAACCCTATTAAGTGGCATTATACTGGTTTACATGAAAAAAACCCTATTAAGTTGCATTATACTGGTTTACATGGAAAAATCCCTATTAAGTTGCATTATACTGGTTTACATGGAAAAATCCCTATTAAGTTGCATTATACTGGTTTACATGGAAAAAACCCTATTAAGTTGCATTATACTGGTTTACATGTAAAAACCCCTATTAAGTTGCATTATACTGGTTTACATGGAAAATCCCCATTAAGTTGCATTATACTGGTTTACATGTAAAAACCCCTATTAAGTTGCATTATACTGGTTTACATGGAAAAATCCCTATTAGGTTGCATGATTACACTGAAGTCCTTGAAACTGCTGAAGTCCTTGAAACTGCTGAAGTCCTTGAAACTGCTGAAGTCCTTGAAACTGTTGAAGTCCTTGAAACTGCTGAAGTCCTTGAAACTGCTGAAATCCTTGAAACTGTTGAATCCTTGAAACTGTTGAATCATTGAAACTGTAGAAATGTCTGAAAGAGCTGAAGTCCTATTAAAATGCATGGGCCTATTAAAATGCATTGCAGAATTCTCAATGCAAATTAATGGCAGAATTCCCAAGTCCCGTAGAAAAAAACTGGAAAACTGCAGAACTCTATTTTTTTCTGAAAACTCACAAGTTGTGGAAGCTGAACATGCACAAACTGCAGAAAATGCTGAAAATGTTGAAGAAAATTCTGAAAACTATGAATTTGTGGAAGCCCCATTATAAGTCAATGGGAAAAATCGACCGATTTTTGTCCGATTGCGGAAAAACCGGAAATCGCTGAAGTCCCAAAAGTAATAGCAATAATCTCCCAAACATGTGGAACGTTTTGATGTATAACTTGTGGAAATTGTTGAAAATGTGAAAGCTGTGAAACGTGTCAAAAATCAGGAAAAAGACGGAATAAAGAAAACCAAAACCAATGGTTGACTGCGGAAGGTTCCGCAGTCAATCAATTAGAGTTTTGCAGTTTTCCAGTTTTTTTCTACGGGCTTGGGAATTCTGCCATTAATTTGCATTGAGAATTCTGCAATGCATTTTAATAGGCCCATGCATTTTAATAGGACTTCAGCTCTTTCAGACATTTCTACAGTTTCAATGATTCAACAGTTTCAAGGATTCAACAGTTTCAAGGACTTCAGCAGTTTCAAGATTTCAAGAGTTTCAAGGACTTCAACAGTTTCAAGGACTTCAACAGTTTCAAGGACTTCAACAGTTTCAAGGACTTCAGCAGTTTCAAGGACTTCAGCAGTTTCAAGGACATCAACAGTTTCAAGGACTTCAGCAGTTTCAAGGTTTCCACAGTTTCAAGGTTTCAACAATTTCAAGGTTTCAACAGTTTCAAGGTTTCAACAGTTTCAAGGTTTCAACAATTTCAAGGACTTCAGTGTAATCATGCAACCTAATAGGGATTTTTCCATGTAAACCAGTATAATGCAACTTAATAGGGATTTTTCCATGTAAACCAGTATAATGCAACTTAATAGGGTTTTTTCATGTAAACCAGTATAATGCAACTTAATAGGGTTTTTTTCATGTAAACCAGTATAATGCAACTTAATGGGGATTTTTCCATGTAAACCAGTATAATGCAACTTAATAGGGGTTTTTACATGTAAACCAGTATAATGCAACTTAATAGGGTTTTTTCCATGTAAACCAGTATAATGCAACTTAATAGGGATTTTTCCATGTAAACCAGTACAATGCAACTTAATAGGGATTTTTCCATGTAAACCAGTATAATGCAACTTAATAGGGTTTTTTTTCATGTAAACCAGTATAATGCAACTTAATGGGGATTTTTCCATGTAAACCAGTATTATGCAACTTAATAGGGATTTTTCCATGTAAACCAGTATAATGCAACTTAATAGGGTTTTTTTCATGTAAACCAGTATAATGCAACTTAATAGGGTTTTTTTTCATGTAAACCAGTATAATGCAACTTAATGGGATTTTTCCATGTAAACCAGTATAATGCAACTTAATAGGGTTTTTTTTACATGTAAACCAGTATAATGGAACTTAATAGGGTTTTTTCCATGTAAACCAGTATAATGCAACTTAATAGGGATTTTTCCATGTAAACCAGTATAATGCAACTTAATAGGGATTTTTCCATGTAAACCAGTACAATGCAACTTAATAGGGATTTTTCCATGTAAACCAGTATAATGCAACTTAATAGGGTTTTTTTCATGTAAACCAGTATAATGCAACTTAATGGGGATTTTTCCATGTAAACCAGTATTATGCAACTTAATAGGGATTTTTCCATGTAAACCAGTATAATGCAACTTAATAGGGTTTTTTTCATGTAAACCAGTATAATGCAACTTAATGGGGATTTTTCCATGTAAACCAGTATAATGCAACTTAATAGGGGTTTTTTTACATGTAAACCAGTATAATGGAACTTAATAGGGTTTTTTCCATGTAAACCAGTATAATGCAACTTAATAGGGATTTTTCCATGTAAACCAGTATAATGCAACTTAATAGGGATTTTTCCATGTAAACCAGTACAATGCAACTTAATAGGGATTTTTCCATGTAAACCAGTATAATGCAACTTAATAGGGTTTTTTTCATGTAAACCAGTATAATGCAACTTAATGGGGATTTTTCCATGTAAACCAGTATTATGCAACTTAATAGGGATTTTTCCATGTAAACCAGTATAATGCAACTTAATAGGGTTTTTACATGTAAACCAGTATAATGGAACTTAATAGGGGTTTTTACATGTAAACCAGTATAATGGAACTTAATAGGGGTTTTTACATGTAAACCAGTATAATGCAACTTAATAAGGAGTTTTACATGTAAACCACTATAATGTAACCTAATAGGGGTTTTTACATGTAAACCAGTATAAAGCAACTTAATAGGGATTTGTACATGTAAACCAGTATAATGCAACCTAATAGGGATTTTTCCATGTAAACCAGTATAATGCAACTTAATAGGGATTTTTCCATGTAAACCAGTATAATGGAACCTAATAGGGATTTTTCCATGTAAACCAGTATAATGCAACCTAATAGGTTGCATTGTACCACCAGACCAAGACCCAAACGAAGACTCAGACCACCACCAGATAATGACCACAGACCAGGTTTCCTTAGTTACAGGAACCAAATTGTTTCAGCGGTGAGGGGATTTTTCAGTTTCAAGGACACTTTCAATACATTCAGTAGTTTCAAGGATTTCAACTGTTTAAGAATTTAACCAGTTTCAAGGATATCAGGAGGTTCAAGGATTTCAGGAGTTTCCACACTTTCAACAGTTTCCAGGTTTAAAAAAGTTTCAAGGATTTCAGGAGTTTCAATGTTTCAACAGTTTCAAGGATTTCAGGAGTTTAAAGGTTTCAACAATTTCAAGGACTTCAGGAGTTTCAAATATCTATCAAGTATTTTAACAGTTTCAAGGCCTTTTAAAGGATTTCAAGGATTTATTTTAGCAGATTTCCACATTAGATCTGTTCCGCAGTCAATCGCAATGGCTTCAGCCATTGCAAGTTTCTAGTTACAGTTAGGACAGGTGCGCGTGGTGAACCCTGGCAATGAGCATTTGAAACAGTGGGGTTCTGATTTATAGTGTTCCTTGTAACGAGAAGTCTGCGGCCCACTTGGTCCAAGCACTGAGTGGAGCTCATGTGCGCGAAGCAGGAGGTCCATTACCGAAGTCACATGAGCACCATAAAGTGCAACTCTGTATTTTTCAAGTGAATGTTTCCTAATCAGTTCAATTTGCTCTCTTTCAGGAGGTGGACTTTTCAGTTTCTTGTACTCACTCAGCATATGGGCGACAAAAGTTGCCAGGGGCTCATCTTGAGCCTGGACACGATCCAACAGTCCTCTCAGAATGCGTTCTTGGTTGTCCGAGGGTAGAAAAACAGTCTGAAACAATTGACAAAACTGAGCTCAAGTTGTTATATGGGAGCTCAGAGCTTTGAACCATTTGCTTGGCTCTTTGGCAAAGAAATGTGGAAGTTCGTTCAATAATTGTCCATCAGTAAGACCCAATGAGGATCTGTATGCAGTTACTGCCTGTAACCAATCTTCTGGCTGTACCTTGTTGTCCGCTGTGAATACGGGAGGTTCCAGCTTGGCATGGTAAAGAGCTGCTGCTATCACTCTGGAAGTATTGCTCAGCTCCAGTGTGTTAGGGCTGGGGGACGGGTTGGTGAGAAGTGTAGGTTCAGCTCTGTTCATTGTAGGAACATGCGGTGTGGAAGTAGCCATTGGAAAAATGTTTGATGGCTGGACCGCAGGAGGGGTGGGGTTTTCTTTGGAGAGACGGTCCCACTGCCTCAGCATAGTTCTTTGCATGTCCAGTGAGTCACGTAAACAGTCACTAAGTCTGTTAACTTCTGCTCTCAAATAAACTACTTCTTTAATAAGGTCAGGTTTATCCTCCAAAATAATGTGTTGCTTTGGTAAAGAGATAAGCTCCATGTCAGAGTCCTCGTCCTCTAGCATGTCTATAAAATGGGCCATTGTACTTCATAAAAAAAGGAGAAAGCACAGCACCGTTCTAAAGTAGGATTGTAAATGAAAAATCAATTAGGCCTAGGCTAAAAGGACGAGAAAAATCTACGAGGTACTTTAAAAATGCTGGCTAACCTTAAAAAGATACAATAGCACTCAAAATAAGACGTTAATGCTGGACTAATGCTCTAACATTGCACAAGTGTAAATAAATCTTTGGTAACTGCAGCTAACGCCTTGTGCATTCCACATACTATGGATATTTTTTAGTCGTTGTTGCAATGTTTCTTAGTAGCATACGATAGAAAAACTCGTCACTAAAGTCAGTACTCACTTCCAAGTCCGGGGCCGTCTAAATGCTGGAGGGCAGGCAGGGAAAGTTTTCATGTGTTCAAAATGGGGTAAAAAAGAATCAGCATAGCTCCACCACTGCATTTCAGTTTGAGAGAAAAATAAAAATGTGCATAGGGAAGCAAATCCAGCGTGATCCTGATGTCCACTAACCACTGATATAGCGTGTGGAATAGCGTATTGTTCACGGAGGTGACTTTATACAACAGCAGTATGTGTTCACGGAGGTGACTTTATATAACAGCAGTATGTGTTCACGGTGACTTTATATAACAGCAGTATGTGTTCACGGAGGTGACTTTATATAACAGTAGTATGTGTTCATGGAGGTGACTTTATATAACAGCAGTATGTGTTCACGGAGGTGACTTTATATAACAGCAGTATGTGTTCACGGAGGTGACTTTATATAACAGCAGTATGTGTTCACGGTGACTTTATATAACAGTAGTATGTGTTCACGTAGGTGACTTTATATAACAGCAGTATGTGTTCACGGAGGTGACTTTATATAACAGCAGTGTGTGTTCACGGAGGTGACTTTATATAACAGTAGTATGTGTTCACGGAAGTGACTTTATATAACAGGAGTATGTGTTCACGGAGCTGACTTTATATAACAGCAGTATGTGTTCACGGAGGTGACTTTATGTAACAGGAGTATGTGTTCACGGAGGTGACTTTATATAACAGCAGTATGTGTTCACGGAGGTGACTTTATATAACAGCAGTATGTGTTCACGGTGACTTTATATAACAGCAGTATGTGTTCACGGTGACTTTATATAACAGCAGTATGTGTTCACGGAGGTGACTTTATATAACAGCAGTATGTGTTCACGGAGGTGACTTTATATAACAGCAGTATGTGTTCACGGAGGTGACTTTATATAACAGCAGTATGTGTTCACAGTGACTTTATATAACAGCAGTATGTGTTCACGGAGGTGACTTTATATAACAGCAGTATGTGTTCAAGGTGACTTTATATAACAGAAGTATGTGTTCACGGTGACTTTATATAACAGCAGTATGTGTTCACGGAGGTGACTTTATATAACAGCAGTATGTGTTCACAGTGACTTTATATAACAGCAGTATGTGTTCACGGCGGTGACTTTATATAACAGCAGTATGTGTTCACGGAGGTGACTTTATATAACAGCAGTATGTGTTCACGGTAACTTTATATAACAGCAGTATGTGTTCACGGAGGTGACTTTATATAACAGCAGTATGTGTTCACGGAGGAGACATTATATAACAGCAGTATGTGTTCACGGAGGTGACTTTATATAACAGGAGTATGTGTTCACGGAGGTGACTTTATATAACAGCAGTATGTGTTCACAGTGACTTTATATAACAGCAGTATGTGTTCACGGCGGTGACTTTATATAACAGCAGTATGTGTTCACGGTGACTTTATATAACAGCAGTATGTGTTCACGGAGGTGACTTTATATAACAGCAGTATGTGTTCACGGAGGAGACATTATATAACAGCAGTATGTGTTCACGGAGGTGACTTTATATAACAGGAGTATGTGTTCACGGAGGTGACTTTATATAACAGCAGTATGTGTTCACAGTGACTTTATATAACAGCAGTATGTGTTCACGGCGGTGACTTTATATAACAGCAGTATGTGTTCACGGTGACTTTATATAACAGCAGTATGTGTTCACGGTAACTTTATATAACAGCAGTATGTGTTCACGGAGGTGACTTTATATAACAGCAGTATGTGTTCACGGAGGAGACATTATATAACAGCAGTATGTGTTCACGGAGGTGACTTTATATAACAGGAGTATGTGTTCACGGAGGTGACTTTATATAACAGCAGTATGTGTTCACAGTGACTTTATATAACAGCAGTATGTGTTCACGGCGGTGACTTTATATAACAGCAGTATGTGTTCACGGTGACTTTATATAACAGCAGTATGTGTTCACGGAGGTGACTTTATATAACAGCAGTATGTGTTCACGGAGGAGACATTATATAACAGCAGTATGTGTTCACGGAGGTGACTTTATATAACAGGAGTATGTGTTCACGGAGGTGACTTTATATAACAGCAGTATGTGTTCACGGAGGTGACTTTATATAACAGCAGTATGTGTTCACGGAGCTGACTTTATATAACAGCAGTATGTGTTCACGGAGGTGACTTTATATAACAGGAGTATGTGTTCACGGAGGTGACTTTATATAACAGCAGTATGTGTTCACGGAGGTGACTTTATATAACAGCAGTATGTGTTCACGGTGACTTTATATAACAGCAGTATGTGTTCACGGTGACTTTATATAACAGCAGTATGTGTTCACGGAGGTGACTTTATATAACAGCAGTATGTGTTCACGGAGGTGACTTTATATAACAGCAGTATGTGTTCACGGAGGTGACTTTATATAACAGCAGTATGTGTTCACAGTGACTTTATATAACAGCAGTATGTGTTCACGGAGGTGACTTTATATAACAGCAGTATGTGTTCAAGGTGACTTTATATAACAGCAGTATGTGTTCACGGTGACTTTATATAACAGCAGTATGTGTTCACGGAGGTGACTTTATATAACAGCAGTATGTGTTCACGGTGACTTTATATAACAGCAGTATGTGTTCACGGTAACTTTATATAACAGCAGTATGTGTTCACGGAGGTGACTTTATATAACAGCAGTATGTGTTCACGGAGGAGACTTTATATAACAGCAGTATGTGTTCACGGAGGTGACTTTATATAACAGGAGTATGTGTTCACGGAGGTGACTTTATATAACAGCAGTATGTGTTCACGGAGGTGACTTTATATAACAGCAGTATGTGTTCACGGAGGTGACTTTATATTACAGCAGTATGTGTTCACGGAGGTGACTTTATATAACAGCAGTATGTGTTCACGGAGGTGACTTTATATAACAGCAGTATGTGTTCACGGAGGTGACTTTATATAACAGCAGTATGTGTTCACAGTGACTTTATATAACAGCAGTATGTGTTCACGGAGGTGACTTTATATAACAGCAGTATGTGTTCAAGGTGACTTTATATAACAGCAGTATGTGTTCACGGTGACTTTATATAACAGCAGTATGTGTTCACGGAGGGACTTTATATAACAGCAGTATGTGTTCACAGTGACTTTATATAACAGCAGTATGTGTTCACGGCGGTGACTTTATATAACACAGTATGTGTTCACGGTGACTTTATATAACAGCAGTATGTGTTCACGGTAACTTTATATAACAGCAGTATGTGTTCACGGAGGTGACTTTATATAACAGCAGTATGTGTTCACGGAGGAGACTTTATATAACAGCAGTATGTGTTCACGGAGGTGACTTTATATAACAGGAGTATGTGTTCACGGAGGTGACTTTATATAACAGCAGTATGTGTTCACGGAGGTGACTTTATATAACAGCAGTATGTGTTCACAGGTGACTTTATATAACAGCAGTATGTGTTCACGGAGGTGACTTTATATAACAGCAGTATGTGTTCACGGAGGTGACTTTATATAACAGCAGTATGTGTTCACGGAGGTGACTTTATATAACAGCAGTATGTGTTCACGGAGGTGACTTTATATAACAGCAGTATGTGTTCACAGTGACTTTATATAACAGCAGTATGTGTTCACGGAGGTGACTTTATATAACAGCAGTATGTGTTCAAGGTGACTTTATATAACAGCAGTATGTGTTCACGGTGACTTTATATAACAGCAGTATGTGTTCACGGAGGTGACTTTATATAACAGCAGTATGTGTTCACAGTGACTTTATATAACAGCAGTATGTGTTCACGGCGGTGACTTTATATAACAGCAGTGTGTGTTCACGGTGACTTTATATAACAGCAGTATGTGTTCACGGTAACTTTATATAACAGCAGTATGTGTTCACGGAGGTGACTTTATATTACAGCAGTATGTGTTCACGGTGACTTTATATAACAGCAGTATGTGTTCACGGAGGTGACTTTATATAACAGCAGTATGTGTTCACGGAGGTGACTTTATATAACAGCAGTATGTGTTCACAGTGACTTTATATAACAGCAGTATGTGTTCACGGAGGTGACTTTATATAACAGCAGTATGTGTTCAAGGTGACTTTATATAACAGCAGTATGTGTTCACGGTGACTTTATATAACAGCAGTATGTGTTCACGGAGGTGACTTTATATAACAGCAGTATGTGTTCACAGTGACTTTATATAACAGCAGTATGTGTTCACGGCGGTGACTTTATATAACAGCAGTATGTGTTCACGGTGACTTTATATAACAGCAGTATGTGTTCACGGTAACTTTATATAACAGCAGTATGTGTTCACGGAGGTGACTTTATATAACAGCAGTATGTGTTCACGGAGGTGACTTTATATAACAGCAGTATGTGTTCACGGAGGTGACTTTATATAACAGGAGTATGTGTTCACGGAGGTGACTTTATATAACAGC